TTCCTAAGTCCGTGGGGCCTGATGGGCTTCGTCCCAGAGCTCTTGATGAGCTGGCGGACGTTATGGCAGGACCACTCTCCATCATCTACCAAAGGTCTTGGGGGTCTGGGGAGTTCCCTGCTGACTGGAAGCCACCCACCGTTATTCCCATCTACGAGAGGGTGAGAGGGAAGACCCAGGAAACTACAGAGCTGTTAGTCTGACCTCAGTACCCGGAAAAATGATGGAGAAGATCATAGCGGGTGCTGCTGAAAGGCATTTAAAGAACAATGCAATCATCAGGCACAGTCAAGATGGGTTCACCAAGGGAAAGCCCTGTTTAACTGCTCTTACATCCTTCTTTGATAAGGTCACCCGCCTCGTGGATGAAGGAAAGGCGGTGGGTGTAGTTTGTCTGGATTTTCATAAGGCTTTTGATGCTGTCCCTCACCAGCATCCTTCGGGACAAGTTGTCCAGCTGTGAGATGAGCAGGTACAGGGTGCGGCGAGTGAAGAACTGGCTGGCGGCAGGGCTCCAGGGGTTGTGGAGAATGGGGCTACATCTGCCTGGGGAGCGGTCAGCAGCGGTGTTCCTCAGGGCTCAGTCCTAGGGCTGGTTCTGTTCAGTGTTTGTATGGGTGATTTGGATGCAAGAGTGTAATGCACCATTAGCAACTCTGCTGATGATACCAAATGGGAGGTGCTACTGACTCTTTTGAGGGCCGAGAGGCCTTGCAGAGGGATCTAGGCAGATTGGCGCATTGGGCACTCGTCAATGGCATGAAATGGAACGAGAGCAAATGCCGGATTCTGCACCTGGGAGGGAGTAACACCGGGCACAAGGATAAATTGGGAGAGGAGTGGCTGGAGAGCACTTTAATTTTCTTTAAGAGTGAACCTTTAGAACCAAACCCAGGAAACTCAGTCATGTTCTATCAGCCTTTTAAATTACACCCTCTCCCAGAACTGTTTGTTTTTTTCAGTAAAGGAAAGGTTTGATGTAGCTCCTGTAGGAATCAGCACTTTTCTTCCCAGTCGCTCATACAAGTGACGTACTGAGTGTTTGCTTTACTGAAGTCCATCATGCAAACGTGGCCATACGAAAACAGGAATGAGGATAAAGGCTTTAGCTGTTCTCTGTGGCCCGTGAGACAGTGAGCAGCTGTTTGTGGACTGCTCAGGAGATGTTCTGAGCAGGGCCATGAAGGGTGTTTTCAACTGAAAATGTGAGAAGTGAGTTCTCGTGGTGGCTGTTGCCTCTCTGTGCCTCTGCGAGTCCAGAGCAGAGGGTGTCGGTGCAGACCCGGCACCCAAGGGTGGCTCTGGCCTGGGCGGGCAGGCTCTCCGGTCCTGGCACGAGGACGGGGCTGGGCACATTGCCGCATAGAGCCCTGGCTGGCAGTGGCGGCTCCCGATGGGATGGAGCTGCCTGGCTTCCCTCTGTGTGCAGGGAGGTGTTGAAGCTGGGAGGATGTAAGGGCTTTGCCTGCAACCGTGGCTGCGGAGGAGAGCAGCTATGTTGCCCGAGCAGCGGGCAGGTCTAGCTAGGCGAGGGCAACTGATGCTCCCATGTGCATTTTTCACCTTGATTCGCATTTACCCTCATGTGTGCTGAGATACCTGCCGGGGACCAAGTGCCCCTTCAAAAACCCAGCGCTGCAGCAGTGCCACCATCTTACTGTCCCTTCACTGTGACCATCCAGCACCTCCCGTCAGCAGCACAAACATCAGCTGTCGGCTGAACCCAGCTGCAGTGGCCCGTGGCAGGGAAGGAGGCAGCGAAACTGATTTTATTGCTCTCTCTCAACCTGTTCTTTCATTCCATGGTCCAGAAACGCCCTACAGCCTCGCAGGAGCTGCCCGCTCCTGTGCCATCCTCCCCGAGGTCCCCGTCCCCTGCAGTGGCTGCTGTCCCCTGGCACCGTCCAACGGGGACTGCCATTTTTCTTCATTATTCAGCCCTGCCTCTCTCTCTGGACGTCTCTTCTTCAGGATGTCTGTGTTACAATACTTAGCTGGATCTTAAATGTTTACCAGTTTAGGACCAACAGGTAATAAATCAACCTTTACAGCAGGCAGCTCTGAAAGGTGACTTAGAGGGTATATCCCTCACTTGAACTAAGTCTTGCCGAAGGAAGTTTTAATATCTAAATTATAGCTCTGAGTCTAGAAGGCTTAGAGATCTTGGAGATTTATAGCCCCTATTAATAACCAATTATTTCTCAAACACATTTGCCATGCAGTTAGGCCCAAGTCGTTAGATGGCCTGAAATGCTAAATGCCCTGTTAAAGTGTGGTGACAAACATCATATATTTTGTGTCGATGCTGGTTTCCCAGTTGTTGTAGTGTGAAAAATTCACATCCGTGACCCTTGGACCGAGCCATCCATCAATGCCGTGCTGGACACGTGGTGGGGAGCAGGAGTCGCTCCCCAGCCCTTACCTGAGCTGCAAGCTGGGATCGCTTTGACTTGGAGGGATGTCTTGGCCATGGGGTGAGGGGGACCGTCATCCCACGTTGCTGTTGCTACTGATGGCAGAGCTGCTTCTGAAGCCGGTGGGGATTGAAAGCAGACTTGGAGCAGCCAAGCCCTGCTCCATCATGGTGCAGGATCAGGCCTGTGCTTGCTGGGGCTGAAGCAGGGACCATCCTGCCTTCTTCTGGACTGGAAAAGCGCATCGCCGGCAGCATCAGCTGTTGCGTTTGTGCAGTGGGGAGAGAGCTACATGGGTGCCAAGGGAATGGACCTGACCCTTCAGCTTTGATCCCTCAACAAGCTGAGGCCACCCAGCAATGTGCTGTGGGTCCTGCATGAGTAATGGCATCATGGGTCCAGCGTCCCATCTTGGGGCCACCCCCTGTGCCAGCAGCCCCTCTCGGTGTCCAGCACCAACCACTCCATTCCGCTCGACATTGTCTGTGATGCATGATGCCCTTTCACCATGTCCCAGTGCATGTCCCCCGGTCACAGCGAGCTGTGCCTCTTCTCTTCACAGCCCTGTTTACAATACTGGCCTGAGCCGGGGCTCCAGCAGTACGGCCCGATGGAGGTGGAGTACGTTTCCGGAGCGGTGGATGAGGACATCGTGTCCCGTCTCTTCCGAGTCCAAAACATCACACGGGTGAGGGTCTTTCCTCTGGCTCAGTGCTGGCGAAGGGTGGTTGGGGGACTTCGCACATGTCTGTGTGTGTGTGTCCAGGTGCCCCCCAGGCATCTCCCAGTGCAGAGGTCTGGGTTGGATGAGCTCGTGTGCAGGGGATGGATCGCTTTTTTTAGCTGCTGCTTTGGGGAAGGGCTGGGGCATCGCTTTATATGGGTGAAGACCTCCTTCGGAGAGCAGAAGGATGATGTATCTAGTGAGGCCATGTAGTCCTAGAGCTTGTATTGCCTGGCCAGGTAATTCTCCATATAAACTAACTGAATGGTGCTGTAGATGCTGGTGTCTTCTTCAGCTCCTTGCAAGATTTTAGATAACTCTGTAGGAAGACCTTTCTCATCCTGCCTGGAGGTCTATCTCTGCCCTGCCATGCATATATCACAGGATGGAGACTCCCCGCATGGGCATGGTGGCTCCCCTGGGACCAGCAGAGCCCTTTTCCTGCAGGGTGAGAAGACCCGCACAGGTTTTCACCTGTTGTCCTTGTTGCATTGACGCTTGGCTGGCTCAGCTTGCCTTTAAATGAAGAGAAACGCAGTGAAATTGGGAAGGGACAGGGACTGCAGTGAACAGCCTCCATGGGTGCAGAACTGTATGTGGAAAAAAAAAAGGTATAACTACAAAAGCCGGCCATGGAGAGGTGCATCCCTGAGATCTTCAAATCTCCTGAGGGTTGCCAAGAGGCTGAGGCCAATGCTCCAGTGGAGTTCATTGGGCAGATGGGAATTAGGGAGCTTGGAAGTGAGCATGTGGCTTGGCTGACAGCCTGGCTGGGAAGGGTGCTTTGGCATGGGAGTTGGGTTGGAGGAAATAACTCCTGATTATCTGGGCTCTTAACACAAAGAGGGTTTTGCTTTGCTCTCCCTGTGGGAGCATCTGGCATTTCCTGGGTATCAGCACAAAATCCTTCACTAAATGTGCTTTGCTCTCAGGTGGTAGAATATACCCCATGCTAAATTAAAATGCAGCGTGATTGAAATCTCTGGATCTAAGAAGAGATTTCCCCACGGAGCAGATCACTGGAGGAATGCTGGTAAATGCAAGGAGCTGCTTCTTGCCAAGCCTTGCTGGCTGGAGGGGAGCCTGGCATTGGGAGGTGTCACAAGTCCTCCAGAGCCAGACAGAGCTTTCACCTGAGCTTCAAAATGGATCCAAAAGCTTTTCTTCCCAGGCTGTCAGAGGAGTTTTTCTCCTGTTTTAACTGCCACTTATTTGTTTCATCTTCCCCCTCTGCCTTCCTGGCTTCCAGCTGAAGCAAAAGCTCAAGCCTGGGGAGGTCAGCCTATCCCAGCCACTTTGCAGACCCGCATCGGAGCTCCCAAAAAGGTTCAGAAAAGCCCCTGTGCGTTTGGGATGTGCTGGTTGGAGTGGGCACCAAATGCCCCCAACACTCACCCCCCAGGCTGGGGGGTCCCTGCAGAGTCGCAGGAGTACCTGGTCCCGCTGGTTGGAGAGGTCTGGTGCTCGCCAGATGTGCTCAGATGCACATCAGGCATCTGAAATCAGGTGGATGGAGCCCTCCAGAGCTGGGGATCCCCAATCTGTCTCTGATCCCCCCCTTTCTCCACTGATGCGTGCTCCCCACACATGTGCCACTGAGCCTTGAGATGCGGCTGGAGTGGGTGACCCGTGATTTCATCCCATCAGGTACTCCTGATGCCCCGAGTACTTCTGAGCAAGAGCCCCACATCTGCCTGGCTAAAGCCTGGCCTCGTTTAGCTTTGTGGATGTAATCTTCCTCCTGGAGCCTGCTAACCAGATTAGGTTTCAAAACTAACCAGATTACCAGGGTATTAAGGCGCACTTCCACCGCTCCCCGTTTCCGTGGGTGGCAGCTTCTCATCAGCCTCCTGGTTTACAGCGAACACAACAAAACACTTCCCCTGGGATCTTCTGCATGCAAGACAAGGACATGATGGAGAAGCCTTGGGGAGGCTCAGGGGTCTGGTAACAGGTTTTGTGAGATACACAGACCGTCCGAGACACTGTGAGTTAGGATAAACCATGTCAGTGGAGCTTCCCCCGGGTGGGATGGGGTGGTGGGACCACTGTGAGCTGCGGAGGAGAGGGCTGAACCATCCATCTTAAAGCACCAGGAAAGGGTTTTCCTCTCTTCCACTACTGTTGATGCATGGCAAACCCCTCTTGCCCTCTATCAGAGCTCCAGCGGAGGCAAATGAGGGCAGCCCATGGGTTCAAGCTGATGAGGTTTGCTTTTCTAGTTGCAGGAGGGGCACCTGATGGTCCGACATTTCCAGTATCTGCGGTGGTCAGCGTACCGAGACACCCCAGACTCTAAGAAGTCCTTCCTGCACCTCCTGGCCCAAGTGGAGAGGTGGCAGAAGGAAAGCGGCGATGGCAGGACTGTGGTGCACTGCTTGTGAGTGTCAACTGGAGAGGAGCGGGCTCTCCATGGGGGGAGATGCCACCAGCTCACGTGTCCACAGTTCTGCCTGGAAATCCTCTAAAAAGCCCTCACCAGGGTGACTTTGTCCCCAGATGGTGCTCTCTCTCCCACAACATGAGTTTTGGGTGAGGCGCTTTGTGGTCACCATGTCAAACCTCCTCCATGAGATAGATGCTCAGTGGGAGTGACACCTGCTAGCAGCAACCCTGCCGTTCACACCGGTCCCCTGCCTTGCAGCGGGGCTCGGCAGAGGTCCCAGCCCTGTCACCACGTCCCGTGCCCGTAACAGGCTCCAAAGGGATGCAGCAGGAGCTGTGTATCTCTCACTGCCTGCTTCTCATCGAGGTAGACGTGCTCTCCATCCCCCTCCTCCCAGCTGGATTTGGCTCACACAAACACCCTTGCGTGCTCTCCTCGGATGGGACCTAGCACGTTCGCAGATTGGTAGAGGCAGCAGGCGAGCCTTTAATCAAAAATTAATTACAGCCTTGTCCATTTTCATTAGCCGAAGGATAATTTGAGAACATGCTTTATAAAACACTGGCATCACGTTCTCTCTTCCCTTCCCCGGTCCCCTTTGCTGCCAGGGATCAGATGTGGTGGTGTAGGACGGTTTCAGCCCAGGATGGGGGGAGGTACCCAGCGAGCTGTGCACTGGGTGAAACGTGGGATGGTTCTTCCAGCCAGCACTACCCAACAGGTCATCAGCCCAGGGAAGAGGGTTGGTAGATGGGAAGAGGGTGGCAGGAGGACACAGTGGCTTCCCCAAGGTCACACCAGGAATCGGGCCATGGCAGGGCTGGAAACTCAGCCCAGATGTCCAAGATCCAGCCCCGATGGTCCAAAAAGGTGTTTTCATGCTCTGTTATGGCTCTTGTGAGGACCAGAGGGCAGGATCACAGCTCCTGCCACCACGTGGGTCTGGTTCAGGTCCCCCAGTTTGGGGGGATTCTGGGGTATAAGCCCATGCTCTGGGACATCCCCTGGGATGGATAGAGAAAGGAGGAATTAGAGGGAGCTGGGAGATGCTCTAATGCCATCTTTTCACCACCAACGTGTGTTTCTCCCACCAGGAACGGAGGTGGCCGGAGCGGCACCTTCTGTGCCTCCACCATGATCCTGGAGATGATCAAGTGTCACAACATGGCAGATGTTTTCTATGCTGCAAAGACCCTCCGCAACTACAAGCCAAATATGGTAGAGACCTTGGTAAGCACCAGACACCACTGGCGTCCACCCCGGCTGCTGGTCGCCACGCGTCCCTCCGGCAGGGAGGGGAGCTGCTGGGGGATGCTCACCTCCCAGAAAACCTCCTTTCCCATCCCGAATCCTGGTTAGGATTATGGGCATCCTCATGCAGAGCATGTCTCGGTGAGCGTGCCGGCACCATGCCGCGGGCTGGGGCGGACAGGGAGGCGAGGCAGCTGTTGAAAGGATCCTCGGGCTTGCCTTCATCTTGCCGTGCTGACACGTCCTTGGCGTCGGTGTTGGGCTTGTCAGAAATCCTTCCCAGGAGCAATAAGGCAGGTTCGCATTAATTCACGGGATGTAATTGCAGTTCTTCGGAGGGTTTGCAGTGCCGGGAGCAGCTCTAAGGTGGAGTCAGACAAATTCCTGTTGGAAATATAAAAGGGAACTGCGTTTTGAGTGAAGTTAATTGGTGGAGAAGCTGCTGGGGGCAGCGATGGAGCCACGTTTCACGACGGGGAGGCTGGAGGTGGCGGCGGGTCAGGGTGAAAAGCCCGTGCCCTATTTCAGGCCCTCGATAACAGGACAGAGGACGGAGCAGGCGCGTGTCTGTCCCCGTGGTGGAGGAATCCAGGTGCCTAGTGACGTTTTAAAAACAAGTCAGCCGGAAATGTTTACCCTGTTTAGGTTATAAAATCTTTAAGTTGCAAAATGAAATGGTTTTGAGGAGGGGATGTGATTTGCATTAGGAATTGAAGTGGAGGAGGAGGAGGTGAGGGAGGGGACGGGAAGCGGAGGGAGGGATGCAGATAATGAAAAGATGATGTGACAAGCATGAAGCCACCAGACCCATTGGGCTAAATTGCAAAGGTACTAAAAAAAGGCAACATTTCACATCAGGACACGAGCATCCTCCAGCCTCAAATGAACCTGAACCGTCTATTCTGGGAATCCCAATCTACTGGAGTCACTGGGAGGCCAGATCCTCGCCTGGTGTAAAGAGCCACAGCCCAGCGGAGAGCAGCCGGCGCGTAGCAGTTTCCCGCTGCCCGTGCATCTTCCCCCTCTGTTTGCCTGTGGGGTTTATTTTTGTATGATAATAAATTGAAACAATCCCTTTTCTTAATCCAAAAAGCATTATGTGCTTTTAATCTAAGCTGTCACAGCCTCCTCACTTTGAAGCCCTTCTCCCTTGCTGCCTGCTCCCACCTGGGGTCCCCGAGCAGCCGCCCACCCACATGGGGGATAACAGGATTTTCGTGCCGGTGCTCAAGCTGCCGATGAGGATTTTGGGAGATGAACTCTCCCCTTTTCCTCCCTGCTGTCACACCTGGAATGCTCCCACGATGTCCCAGCACTTGCAGCAGCATCAGAAACCTGATTTATTTGGGTTTTTTTTTCCCCACTCTAGCTGGTTTGGCTTGTTGGATGCTTGAAGGAGCAACATCTCATGGGGATGGGCACTTCCGAGGTCCGAGCTCCCCCGTAGTTTTCTGTGCTGTGAGTTGTACGAGGACAGGAGAGCACAAGAACGGGTCACGTAAAGGAGAACAAGGATGGACGAGACTGCCTTTGCAAGCCCAATTTCAGTATTTTTGTTATAAAACCAGGAGCCAGCCATGCTGGGCTTTCCCTTCGTGCAGCTGGGGAGCTGCAGCAGGGGGGGAGCAAAGGGTGGGAAGATGCTGACACCGTCCATAGCTGTCTCAGGAAAAGGAAAGGATGGGAGAGTGAGCCCCGTCTTGCCACGGGCTCGGAGAGGAGCTTTCCCACTCGCACCCCTTGGCTCCAACCCGGCCATCGCAGGCGGGTCAGACTTTGACCTGAGCACCAAAATGCTCATTCGTTTGGCGTTTCCCTTGAAAAATTTGGATTTTTGGAAGTGAAAGCTCCTGGGACTTCCCTTCGTGTCTCTCCCCCCGCGCAAAGCAAACACCCAGACCAAATCCCTGCCAGGGATGGAAAATGGCTTTTTTTTTTATCTGCAGCAGGAGAATTTGTGATGAGAAACATCCTGGCAGCCGGGGCAGGGTGTCTCCGGACAACAGATGCAGCGAGGCCATGGCACGTGCCTGGGCACGCTCCCCATTTGCAGCCTCCGCTGAACTAAAAAATAAAAATGCTCCTCAATTTCATGCCCATGGTTTTATTTTGTACATCTCTGAACCCCAGACCCCGTCATTGCCACGGCTCTGCCACCATCTGATTGACAGATGTCAATCACTGCGGTGGTGGTTGGGGTTCCGTGGGTGAGGCTGGTCGGTGGAGCCCCGCCAACTGGTGCTGCTTGGTTTGTACCCTGGTGTGGTGAATAAACCATATTTTCGCAGTAAGGGGACGTCGCAGTCCTTGTCCATCCCTTGGGGGAGGCGAAGGTGCCGCGTGCCCCCAGAATGCAGGAAATTCGGCGCGTGTGGTGTGTTTGGATCCGGGGGATGGCTCATCCCCTTCCCTAGCAATGGGTGTCGTTTGCCGAAAGCAGAGTTTCTCCCGGCTGTTGCTTC